CAGTGTGAATGAAATAGTTGAAAGATATGAACAAGCTATCAGAGGCCTGGCAAAGAGAAAAGGACTATTTGCCTTGTTTCTAACTTAGGCATGTGCAAGCAGTATGCCACCCTCTTGACAACGGGAACTTTCAAATTCATGTGATAAGCTGTAGCTTGGCAGCCACAAAAACTTCTTAAGTCTACATATTTTGATGTAAGTACTGTATACTATATTGTAATTGTGTGGTATATGCTGATAAGTTCATCGTGTATACCTTTAAGTTAGGGTTTGCTAATGTAATACATTTCAATAAAAAGTTGTTGAAAAACACCTTTGTCTTTTCAATATTGTTCAATAGGCTTTACATTTGTGAGAACTTCACTGCCTGGCAAATCACATCATACTAGTGATGAGACTAGTTTAAATGACATTTAGATACCATAAAATTACTTTTTATATTTGCAGATAAATAAATTTAAAAATGCCTGTCTGCCTGATAGCTTGGTATTCCTCTCCAAATTTCCAGTTTACTCTCTCCTTTTCACAGTAGTCATAAAGCCAATTTTGTTTTCTGTGTTTAGCCACCTGACAGCACACAATTAAAATGGCGATCAAACATATCAGTAGCGATACAGATAAATGGTGGAATGTCGAAAGCTATGGTTTTATTTCTGTCAAACATTGTAGGATGGACATGGAGAAATATAGTGGGAGAGGTATTGCTTTGCATGTCAAAGAAGGTGTGCTAGATGAATTAAACCCTTGAAAAGTACAATCTTCCCCCACGGAGTCATTGTGGGTGGCAATAATATACTCCAAAAGTAAATCAGTGTCTGGGTCCTGCTGTCACTTCCCTGACACTCAGAGTAATCATAAAGATAGAGAATGGAACTGTGGAACTTTCCAAACAAGGAAGTGCCATAGTAATGGGTAACTTCAGTAACTCTCACATTGACTGGGTAAATGTGCACTCTGGTCGTGTAAAGGTGAGATTTCTAGATAATCCAAATGACTGTCTTAGAATACAAGTATGTAACTGAATGGAACAGAAGCAACCCTGGACCCATTCTTAGCTGGTGATCAGCATGTAGTGCAAGACGTTAAGGCATATGGAACATACTGGAAATATAAAACAAAATGTGATAGGTTTAATTTTTTGAAATTAGTTTGAAGAACTAAGGCAAATAGTGTGGTGACAAGAAATGAGATTATAGACATAAGAGGGTTTGGTCTGAGGGGTGGCATTTCACTTTGCCATTTTTGGGTGAAAACCCCACATTCAGACTCCCACAACTCCCTGTGCTTGTATATCTTAATGGCAAGATGAAAATGTACAAATCATTGGGTCAGTGAAAAGTAGCCAATATTACACATTTTTAAAGTTTTAAAAGACATCACTGTATTACTCTGAAGAAGTGGATTTGTCCATGAAAACTCACATTAAAATATAACAGTTTTTAAGGTGCCACAATGTTTTTGTCTTCTTTATTTTGGTTTTGGTTTTCTTAAACATTTTTAAAGACAGAATCTAGAACAATGGAAGAAATCACAAACCAGTTAACTTCTGTTCCTGAGAAATTGGTGGAAGGCATTATTAAAGAATAAAGTTTCATACAGCCAGAGGGACAAAAGGTGCTGAAGAAGAATTGGCATTGTTTCTGCAAAGGTAAGTCCTTTCATACACCTTTTAGAGTACAGTATTTTGAAGTGTCAGCCATTGAGTGCCTACAATCATCATAATAGGAACTATTCAGTAGACATTAAAATTAAGATTTCATTTCATTTGCTCCAGTGGATCACTTTATACTTGCTCACAGTGAAATGTGTTTGCCACTTCCAACGCCCACTCCCAATTTCAAGATATTTTTTCCTGGAAGTCATTTGCTATCTCCTTTGATTTTTCCATCCTTATATTAATTTGCTGTCATCAACAATTTGGCCACCTCACTGATCACTGATGAACAACTTCCATGTTACTGATACACAACTTCTAAAAAATTCACTGGTCATAATATGTATCTTTGGCATAGTATTATGATCTACTGGGAAAATCCCACTTTCACATGGTTGTTAGTGGGATCACAACTAGTAAGATTCTATTAAGGAAAAAGATCTTGGACCTTACTGATTTATTTGTTACTGTGACATTCGCCCTTCGTGGCCCCTGCTTGTCTCCCCAAACACATGAAACATCTCTCTCTCTCTCTCTCTCAAAATGGCACTGGCATAGTATTATGATCTACTGGGAAAATCCCACTTTCACATGGTTGTTAGTGGGATCACAACTAGTAAGATTCTATTAAGGAAAAAGATCTTGGACCTTACTGATTTATTTGTTACTGTGACATTCGCCCTTCGTGGCCCCTGCTTGTCTCCCCAAACACATGAAATCTCTCTCTCTCTCTCTCTCTCAAAATGGCAGATTTTTTTTATTAAAACAAGAACTGTGGCAGAGAACAGCCACAAGGCTAAATACTGGGATTGCATAATTAGAGCTAGGGCTGTTTACAAAGCTCAGTGGTTTGTGATGTGTTCCAGTATGGAACACTGTGCATAAATTGATAGGCAGCATTTAAATGATACATGGAATAAGTTTTACTAAATCCCAGGGGAGGGAACACAATTACAAAAGAAGGTATTTAACCTGTTTTGTTTTGTGAGTTACTCTGACAAATACAGTCATTCTGGCAAAAAGCCCTTTTAATTAAGTTCTGGTAGGCATTTTTCAAACAAGAGTCCCACAGCTTTTATAAGGCAGCAAGGAGTAAATAAATCATTTACTGTATGTTTTCAAAGACACCACAAAATCCATTCTGTTTCATGTACTACTGTATAATAGTCTATGGCCCCAAAATTACACCAATTTAAGAGTGACTGATACCTTTTATTGGACCACTGAAAAATCAGTCTGTGAGTGTTTGTGTGTGTGTGAGAGAGAGAAATCACAGAGTAATTGACAGTCTTTTTGTTCGTAAGAGTTGGATGTAAAAGATTTCAAATTAAGGATACCTGAGACCACAACCTCAAGAGAACTGGGACCACCTCAGACATGTTCCATCAATTTTTGGGTTCTTGTCTACAATTTTTCTGCACTGTCCATGAAAGGGCTATGCTTAGCCTGAAGAAATGGAATTAAATCCACAAAAGCTTGCAATTTGTATGATTTTTCAGTAGTCCAATAAAAAGTATTACCCGCCCTCACACTTACGTAATGTAATCTACTGAAGTACTGAAAAAGAACTGAAATTATTTTTAAAATGCTTCCCTGAAGGACGTGACAGAAAAATGTTATGCAGATGCTCTCATCCAGTGAAAGCATAACTTATTAATAAGGATTGCAGTGCTCTAAAATAGGTAAAGCCTCAGCAGGGAGCTGCTTCTCATATGTCCACTACTGCTGAATAGATTTCATGCAGGTGATTTAGCTGACATTGGTCCAGATTTGGAAAAGTTTGCTGTCCTCTGAAGATGCCGGCCACAGAGACTGGCGAAACGTTAGGAAGAACCACTTTCAGAACACGGCCAAGAAGCCCGAAAAACCCACAACAACCAAAGTTACTTTTGGCAACTACAACTCTCAAAATCTCATAGCCAGTATTGTATACACTGTATTGCCTGTGCCCATGCTGGCTGGGGGATTCTGGGAATTGTAGGGCAGAAAAGTAACTATACTACAGATGGGGACCACTGTAAAGCAGTTTTTCCCTCCTGCTTTTTAGAGCAGGGATGTTCTGTGACAGAAAGTATTTCCCTATTCTATGCATACACCCTCTACACTTGAAATTTCTCTCTTATTTCTGGCTCCAACATCAAGGATTGAAAAGCGTACAGGCTAAGCTGTTGGAGAATAAATGAATAAGACATGCACTTCTGCAGTGGGGGCATCAGCAGTAGTAATCCTTATAATGAAAGTATGTTTTGTGTTGCTGCTTTCAACTATTGATGTAGTTCTATGAGACAGAACAGGTAGTTTTTTCTTTAGGTCAAAGGGAACAGTGACTATTCTAGAAAGCAGATTATAAATCTATTAAAATTAAAGTATTTTACTTCATTGCAAACTCAGCCTGGAACAATTTGCCAGGATTCCAGAAGAAAAGACATGTTATTACTGTGCTAGGATTAAGAACATGTGATTCTTCAGAAGTTACTGGCCTTTTAACTTCCATCATTCTTCACCATTGAGAATGCTGCCTATGATTGATGTGAACTATATTCCCCTCACCTACTGTGTTGTTGCTGTTGAGGGGCTATCAAGTCACCTCCATAGTGATCCTAGAAGGGGTGTGAAGGCATGTGAGAATTTCGAGTACGTAGTCTATCATTGCACTTCTGAGTTTTTTTTGCCTGAGTGGGGATTTGAATCCAGGTCTCCCCAATCCTAGCCCAACACCATTCAACTACCCTAGCTCTCAAGTTTGTTTCGTGTGCTGTGGTGCACACCTTACTACAACCCAACGACTCAAATGATTTTTTTTTAAAAAAATCCTATTATTAACACGCTCTCCGTGGGTCTTGCAAAGCAAAGGACTGTGTTTTCCGTTACTGAGTCAAACCAACCCATGTTACCCTTACTCCAATCGGCCCAGAAACGTTGCCTTCCAGATACAGTACTGAATTATTGTTTTCTCTCAGTCCCCTGCACTGGCTACGTGAGTTTTTGCGTTCGTTTACGACAACCGAGGCTCCAGGGCAGGTCGTCGTCCTAACCAAGCGATGCGCTCCCCATTATCTGCGATTTATAGCCACGGGGGAAAGCAGCTCTTCCTCAGACGGCCTGGAGAAAGAAACCTTGCAGGCGGCCACTCCGTCAGGTGAAGCCGAGGCGGCTCCCGGGGAGGCAGAAAAGATGGCCGCCCGGCGGAGCCGCTCTGCGCCAGCCAAGCCGTCAGAGGGCGCAGCGGAGCAGGAGCTGCCGTGGCTGCTCGGCTCCGACCGCGACGTATGCAGCCCCCGTGACC